GTTAAATTTAAAGAAAATTTATATTAATATAGAGTTGGTCCTCCTTTAGCCTCACAGACAGTTTTTATAGGTCTAGGAATGGAATCATACAGCTTCCTGACTTCATCCAGAGGAATTTTCAGTCATTCTTCCATTAAAACCTTCTCCAGATCTTTACGACACAATGGTGGAGGATAGCGGCCCCTAACTTGTTGCTCCAAAATGCACCACAAATGTTCAATAATATTGATATCTTGAGATTGGGGAGGCCACTCCATGTGTTCTAGCTCACTTTCATGCTCTTCATACCACTTCTTAACTACTCGAGCCGTATGTATTGGAGCATTATCGTCTTGGAAGATGCAGTCACCATCAGGGAATAAAGTCTTGGCCATTGGATGAACATGATCTCCCAAAATGTTCAGGTAATCTTTGCTGTTGATTCTACAATGCAGGACAATTATTGGACTGAGACATTTCCATGATATGGCGGCCCAAACTATCACTGATCCACCTCCATGCTTCACTGTTGGAAGAAGGCAGTCAGGGTTGTAAGCTTCTTTGGGCTGCCTCTACACATAATCTCGCCTTGAAGTTGGGAAAAGAGAAAAACTGGACTTGTTTGAGAATATGACTTGCTTCCATTGGTCTGCAGACCAGGCATTGTGATCTCTGCACCACTTTAACCTCTTTTGAATGTTGCGAGTGGAGAGAAGAGGTTTCCTCACAGCAGCTCTTCCATGATATAGAGCCTTATGGAGCTCACGGTGAACAGTTTTAGTAGAAACTGAACTATTCAGATGCTTATTCAATTCAGAAGTCACTTTGGCTGCATTTGTCCGATCATTTTTTGCCACATTACGTTTCAATGTACGTCAGTCCCTATCAGTAAGTTTGCAAGTCCGGCCCGAATTGTTTCGGTTGCTAGAGGTCTTGCCCTGTTTCTCGAATTGCATCAGTGTTCTTGATATGGTAGCTCTTGAAAAACCAAACAGTTCAGCAACCTTAGTGATCGAGGCTCCTGCCATGCGAGCTCCAACAATTTGCTCTTTTTCGAACTCGGATAGGTCACACATTTAGCTTCAATTTTACTAAATTCTAAAAATAAATAAGACAAAGACAGTAAATTAGATAAATAAACGTATTTACAATAGATATAACCTGCAATTACAAAGTTTTACTTAAAGTTCTTAATATAATAGGTTTTTGAAATATAGGAGTGGATTTTGCAAGTGTTTCAATTATTTTGTCCAACCCCTGTACATATTGGGAGAAAAAAAGCAAATATTGATAAGATAGCAAGGGTCAAAAAGCACTAGCCGGAGCCCCCAATCATCCTTGGACACACTTCTATCGCGGAGTGGGGGCGTAGGTGGTAATACGCACCGGCCCAACCTGGAGTTATGCATTTTTTGGCAATAGTAAATTTTATACATTTTTTTAATTTTAACAATAATAAATTTATTTTTAGGTTTATATCTTTTTGGGAACTATTTTTTAATGATTTTCATTTTTATTTTTCGTAATAGATAAGATATTGCAAAATATTTTAGTAACAGTAAATTTATATTTAGATTATTTTTTTCCATCGAGTTCACCCCCAAGTAAGGCAATAAAGCCACTAAGACACAACGGGTTAATGGGTGTGGAAAAGTTAGAAACAGAAACATTACTAAGGAGTGAGAAGAAAAGAAGAGAGTAATCAAGAGGACAGTAAATCAGTCAGTTATGTGCCATGCGTGATACACACTTAGGCGATCATGTATCATTCGATGCATGACTGACGGGGCAGATTTTTCCCGCAGTAGGTTGCCATTTCTTTCTGCGGTAGACTACTTGCTTTCCAAGACTATAGAACCCGGTCTGTCCTGCTATTTACCCATAGCTGGGGAGAGAAGAAGAGAATTCATACCTTTCCCAAGGGTATTAGCACATAAGTGAATGTAATGGATTTGACTGGAATTCGAAATCGGATCTCTGATTCCCCAATCCGAGCCACTATCCATTACTCCACCGTGCCCCCTAAAAATAGCTATTGAAATTGTATTCAAATTTTTGTAGATTAAAGTTGGCTGGAAAGCATGGAGCCTGGAAGAAATTTTCACAGGCGAGAAGTGCGAAGAAAAAGATGTTAGTATGGATCTTACACTCTTATGCAAATTAATTGAAACAACCGTTTTAGTTTCCTTTCTTTCACTATACGGTCAGTCTTATATCCACTGGAGTGACAGGGTGTAATCGATTTCTGTTTTTTCCTCAGATTGAGTCATTTGCAGTGGTGTGCAGTAATATGAATCTGTTTTCGGGGCGTATGATTAAATTTGTTTGCCCTTGAAAACTATTCCGTATTCCGTGATTACATCAGATTGTTTTATCACGCCCAGACACTATTGTCTTGACTGTCGATGAGTTGTCCTACTGCCACTGTCTACGATGGACCTTACTCCAAGGAAGCGTACGAACATTGTAACGCTACACGAACGCACTGGCAAGCCTTACCAGTGAGCAAATCAAAGTTCTATCGACTGGCCCGGAAACTCTCCTGATTTAAATCCAATCAAGAATCAGGGGCCAATGTACAAGGAACGACTTCGTGGAATTGACATACGAAGTACTAATATGAGCACTGGGTCATGTTTCATTGGAAAAATACGAAAAAAGTAAGTAATAACGGAAATATTCGTTTTGTTTCAATTAATTTGCACAAGTGAGTACGGCTACATCTAGCCAACTCAACTGTAAATTGGTAAGACCTCGTCGCCAGCTAGGTCCTGCGCTTAAATTCAAAAAGTCTAGGTACCTTGGTGATTCTGCATTATGGACAAAAACGTGGCACAAGGCCAAAATGAGAGATGTGGAAGAGGATGGTCTTTTTCGGTCTCTACATTGGCCTTAGCTAGCCACAATCACTGACTCAAACATAACAGAATATCCCTTACACCAAAGCAACACAATCTTACTTACCAATCTTACTACATTCACCATAATACCTCAATGTCTCTATGAAGTCCTCAAAAGTCCCCATCTGTACAATCTTTGTCTGTCAGGGTGGGGAATATAACAACAATTTAAAATCTAAACCCCAATGTGTATTTACAAATATGGAACAAAAAATATTTACAAGAAACTAAATAAAATAGTCTTAGTATTAACCCCCACCCCAACACACACACACACGCACGCACACACACACACACACACACACACACACACACACACACACACACACACACACACACCACAAACCACAATCCTCAACTGTAGCAGAAACATCAGTTAACTGGACGAAATCAATGCCGGATTTTAATGATATAAAACACTCATTCATCCAAACATTCACTCAACCACACACTCAAGAAGAGCGATATTTATTTCTGCTATTTATGGAAAATGTGACACAAGGCCAAAATTCGGAATGGAGGTGAAAGGACGATCTTCTTCTGTCTTAACTTTAAACTTAGCTAACCACAAACACTGACCCAATCATACAAACAATATTCCTTACACCAAAACAATGCATTCTTACTTACTAATCTTACAACATTCACCATAATACCTCATTGTCTCTATGAAAGTCCTAACTATGTACAATTCATTGTCTGTGGGGGCGGGGGGATGCTAAAACAACAATTTAAAAAACTAGCCCCAATGAATATTTACAATATGAAGACAAATCTATTTACAAGAAACTAAACACAATAATGTTAGTAATAAAAAAACACAATCCTTAAATGTGGCAGAAACACCAGTTAAGTGGACGAAATCAATGTGGGACTATAATAATATAAAACATTCATTCCTCCCAAGCACTTACACAGACACGCGCTCATTCTGACACAACAACGAAATACGAAAAAACATACCCGAAACGAAAGGCGCCCCGCATCTACCAGAGAACTGACATCCCTGACCACCTAACAAGGGAGGGGATGGGGAATTAAACCAAAGAAAAAAATGGGGACAGAAGTAAAAGGGGCCAATGAGCATACACTCAAGAAGAGCTCATCTAAAAAGTTACCATGAATGTATTTATAGAAATGGCACAGGGCGGCAACTTTACGGTGGTTGGAAAATGACTGAAGCCGAGATGCCAGGTTACGACCAATAATATTGCCGATTCTTTTTTCGATTTTTTCAAGAATCTCTAGATATATCCCAGGAGCACCGGACCATATGTGGCAGTAATTGTTTTGTAAAATTATTTTTTAAGGTTTTTTTTAATTTTTAATTTTTATTTTTATTTTATTTTTTTTACTAATATTCAACCTATACAAAGCCCAAGATCCACTCTTGGGTATTGGATAGGTTGAGGGTTACTGAAGGAGTTTGTTGTGTGAACGGTAAGAGTAAAGAGGTACAATTTATGAGGATACGTGGGAAAGATAAGGGTTAATCCTAAACTTGAACAGGTTAAGATTGAAGTAGTTGAGGAAGCATTCTCTTGGGAGTCGATTGCAAAAGTATCAATGTTTCAGTTTAAAACATATCCCTGTTTACTGAGGGTGGTTAGCCAATCCCTGTTGCAGACGTCTTCTCAGGCACATTTGTGTTTGTTCAACACCCTCACAGGCCACCTGTACTTTATACTGACAGTATGCTGTGCGGACCTTAGTTTCTGGGAGAGACCACATTATCTGTCGTGATCAACAGTCTGAACAAGGCAGTACCTCGGTCACGATGACCTGTGGTTTCGTGCTAGGACAACCACCAACGGCTCCCAAATAGTTCCGTCTCACCAATTTCACTCACAAGGTTTGGGTCAACCCTTGGGATAGTTTTCAGGTATTTTCCAAAGGTGACGCACGCTGGGATCGATATATGCATACATAAAAAAGAAAAAATGAGAAAAAAAATGGAAAATACAAGCGATGGGAAGATGAGAAAACAAATTGAAATATAAAAAAAGTGGGTAAGTATGTATGGTGAATTTTAAAACGAAAGGGGGATCAAGTCTCTCCACAGCTTCCTGGATGGAATTTGAACTAGGCTTGCTGAACTTATTTTCCGTGCCAATAACCATTATGCTACATTCATATTGTTATAATCGCACTCGCACTCTCTTCTTTCCTCTCTCTGTCTTTATCTCTCCTTCTCTGCTTTGCTTCTCTATTGCATTCCTAAACTCTCGCACTCGTTCTACCACACTCTATCTATCTATCTATCTATCTATCTATCTATCTATCCCAGTTTATTCATATCTATCTATCTATCTATCTATCTATCTATCTATCTATCTATCTATCTCTAGGTCTTTTCATTCCTATCTATCTATCTATCCCAGTTTATTCATATCTATCTATCTATCTATCTATCTATCTATCTATCTCTAGGTCTTTTCATTCCTATCTGTCTATCTATCCCAGTTTATTCATATCTATCTATCTATCTATCTATCTATCTATCTATCTATCTATCTATTATCTATCCCAGTTTATTCAATCTATCTATCTATCTATCTATTCATATTCATCTATCTATCTATCTATCCATCTATCCTATCAATCTATCTATCTATTCATCCATTCATCTATCTATCTATAGGTTTTCACTCCTATCAATCTATCTATCCCAGTTTATTCATATCTATCTATCTATCTATCTATCTATCTATCTATCTATCTATCTATCTATCTATCTATCTGTCTTTTCATTCCTATCTATCTATCTATCCCAGTTTATTCATATCTATCTATCTATCTATCTATCTATATGTCTTTTCCTTCCTTCCTATCTATTTATCCCAGTTTATTCATATCTATCTATCTATCTATCTATCTATCTATCTATCTATCTATCTATCTCTAGGTCTTTTCATTCCTATCTATCCATCTATCCCAGTTTATTATTCATATCTATCTATCATCCATCTATCCATCTATCTATCTATCTATCCAGTTTATTCATATCTATTCATCTATCTATCAATCTATCTATCTATCTATCTATCTGTCTGTCTTTTCACTCCTATCAATCCATCTATCATCGTTCATATCTATCTATCTATCTATCTATCTATCTATCTATCTATCTATAGGTCTTTTCACCCTATCAATCTATCTATCCCAGTTTATTCATATCTATCTATCTATCTATCATCTATCTATCTATCTATCTATCTATCTTTTATCTATCTATCTATCTATCAGTTTTTCATATCCTATCTATCTATCTATCCTATTTATTCTATATCTATCTATCTATCTATCTATCTATCTATATGTCTTTTCCTTCCTTCCTATCTATTTATCCCAGTTTATTCATATCTATCTATCTATCTATCTATCTATCTATCTATATCTATCTATCTATCTATCTCTAGGTCTTTTCATTCCTATCTATCTATCTATCTATCTATCCCAGTTTATTCATATCTATCTATCTATCTATCTATCTATCTATCTATCTATCTATCTATCTATCTATCTCGCACCCGCTTTCTCTCTCTCTCTCTCTCTCTTTATCTCTTTTGCAGACGCCCTCTCGCTTGCGCGCGTGCGAGTGCCTGCAATCTCCATCTTTCAAGTGACCGCTTACTTTTGCTCTTCCTTTCGTTCCCTTTCAAGCCTGCTCGCTTTCTCTCTCACCCTCCTTCTTTAGCGGTCGCTTTCCTTCTCTCTCATTTCCCCCTCTCTCTCTCTCTCTCTCTCTCTCTCTCTCTCTCTCTCTCTCTCAATCTCCCCAACATCTTTTGAACCTCTTTCTAGCACGCTTTATCGCGGACAATATGTCTCTCTCTTTATCTATCTCTTGCGAGCATCCCCCCCTCTAATTCGCTTCATGCGCTGTTACCGTTTCTATCTTGGCCTCGTTCTCGCTCACGTGTGCTTCCCTTCGCTCCCGCACACTCCCCCCTCTTTCTCTACTCCCCTTCTCTTTCGTTCTCACCCCCTCTCTATTTCCTTCCCTACTCATAATTTTAAATACTAATCAAGACACGTAAACTCGAAAGGCCTGCTAACATTGACAGACAGACACGCATGACGAGCTTCAGTTGCCGAATACGAAAATGACAAACCATCTTGCATCTCAACAATTCGGAATCTTCCACAAAGGCTGAAAAATAACAGAGATACCTCAACCAGTTGTTCTGATTTGGGTTTGGGAAAAATGGTGGAGAATTCCTAAAATTGTTATTTTCGAAGATTCCTACGGTCGGCGTTTCTGGAATGGATTCAGCAGAAAACAGGCGGGTAATTATGTTGGCAGTCAGTCTTCCCGCCTTTTGGTACCATTTTCGGGGAGGGACAGTAATGGCGTCCGTTTAAAGAATGCTAGGAACTATGCGGATGTTATTTGTTTTTTCTTGTTATCTATCTCAGTTGACATTTATTTTGTTTAGATATATTTTCTTTTCTTTCTCTTTCTTTCATTCTTTCTTTCTTAATACATTGATATCTATCTATTTCACTCTCTTCCTATCTATCTATCTATCTATCTATCTATCTATCTATCTATCTATCTATCTCCTCCGTTCATATCTATCTATCTATCGAACTCATTCCGTTCATATCTATCTATCGAACTCATTCCATTCATATCTATCTATCTATCTATCTATCTATCTATCTATCTCACTCCGTTCATATCTATCTATCTATCTATCTGTCTCATTCTGTTCATATCTATCTATCTATCTATCTATCTATCTATCTATCTATCTATCTATCTATCGAACTCATTCCGTTCATATCTATCTATCGAACTCATTCCATTCATATATCTATCTATCTATCTATCTATCTATCTATCTATCTATCTCCGTTCATATCTATCTATCTATCTATCTATCTATCTCATTCTGTATCTATCTCATTCTGTTCTATCTATCTATCTCATTCTGTTCATATCTATCTATCTATCTATCTATCTATCTATCTATCTATCTATCTATCTATCTATCTATCTATCTATCTCACTCTGTTCATATTTATCTATCTATCTATTAATTTAACTGTGTTCATATTTATCGGGAGAGACATACGAAAAATGGACTTGCTCTATTTTGCATAGAGTCGAGTGACTGCTAATAAGTGAGTCGTTACTCGGTACGGACGAATTTCTAGGTCACATTCTACAAGACATCACAATACTATCTATCTCACTCTGTTCATATCTATTTAGATCATAGGTTTTTAAAAGACTTAAATTATAATTATAAAAAATTACAATTATATAAATTATAGTTACCTACCTTAAATAACACATTAAATACTAAAACATAATAGTTTAACTGTTAAGTTTTAAATTAATTATAACAGAGCGCGTTCATACGTGTTTATAATTATAACAGAGAGCGTTTCATGCGAATTTACAAAATAATTCACAACTATCAGTTTGATTAATTTTTTTTCTAAGCAATTCACCCCTGAAGATGTTATTGGATGAGATTGAAAGTACTTGTGAACATAAAAGAAATGAAAAAAACTATGGCGTCTTCCTTAATGAATTTAATTATAAAATTAAAAAGTTGATCCGAGAATTCGAGAAGATTAAAATAAAAATAAATAGACATAATATCTACAGGTTATTCAGTCAAACATATGTTCTTTTTATTGGTGGAACCCTATATATGCAGAGGGATGGAGGGAACTACAAACAAATGTTGGTCGTAATTAAACACTGAGAGAAACACTGAAAATACAGGGACGCTTAACGTTTATTTTGAATATTAAATTTCTGTTGTTCGAGGCGTTTACTAGCACAACGTAGCCGATTTCATTCCGCTTCTTGCTTCTTCTGCTTTTGTCTTTATTCTAGTTGGTTTTAAGTACCCCACATTGATTGGAGAAAAAACACGAAATAACCACAAAAAAAAATTATATATAAAAGGCAAATTTAAAAAAAACAAAAAACAGGAGAACTTTTTTGTTAACGTTTCGATCTTTACCAGCATCATCACAACAAGTGAAAAAATGATTTGTAAAAAATCGTTATGATGATAAATTTGCTATTTAGAAACGCTTTGGTTAATATGGAAAAAATAACAGTTTTGTAAATTTAAAAATAGATATCCGTGAACAAATCACTGCGTGCATAGGATTTTTTTTAAATCTTTTCACCCCAAACAAGCGGGAGTGCCACTAGCACGCAAGGGGTTACAGAGAGTGAAAGTAAGACTAAAGAGGGGGGTGTTTGAGGAAAGGATAAAGAGAAGGACGGGGAACAAGTTCAAGGCATAAGAAAATGTCGGTTAAATTTAAATTTTTGATGATTATAGCTATCAGGGAAGCAAGTAAGAGGAAGAGAGTTCCACTGTCGGGAAGTGTTAGAGAATAATCTTTTGGAGGAGTAGTGGCGGTAACATTTAACTGTTTCGACAGCGAAAGGAAAGGGTGAAACCTAGGAGTACGCTCAAATTCATGCAGTCGGGGTACCAATGAAAATAGCACCACAGAGCAGAAGCCATGAAAATATTTGTAGAAAAGACAGAGGGAAGCCACATTATGTTGGTGAGAAAGTGACTGGTGTCGAGATGCCAGGCCAGGACCCATCACATTGCATATCTGTCTTTGCATTCTGTCGAGAACCTCGAGGTGAACAGTGAGGGCACCAGACCATGTATGGCAACAATATTCGATGCAAGGGCGAATGGTAGATTTGAAGGATGGACTCGGGCGAGAAAAACTTTCTGGCGCGACACAGAGAACCAACTTTCCTTGCGGTAGATGCAGCTATTGATTCAGTATAGTTGTTTCACCTCATGTCAGTGGAAAACGTGAGACCAAGAAGGCGCAGAGAGACGCTCTCGGGAAGTTGAACCTCAGCCATGCTGATCGGAGGCAAGGAGATTTCTCTATGATGGGTGATATCTATCTATCTATCTATCTATATATATATATATATATATATATATATATATATATATATATATATATATATGGATATAGGAGGCACGGCTTGGATTGAGGAATCGCAGAGCCGAGTTCGAATCCAGGTTGAATCCACTACATTCACTTACGTGCTAATACCCTTGGGAAAGGTGTGAATCCTATTCTTCTCCCTCCAGCTATGGGTAAAACAGCAGGAAAGACTGGGTTCTATAGCCTTGGGTGGCAACTGGTCTAGGAGAAGGACACCTCTGAATTCAAAACCTGCGGAGGGTTGTTTGGGAACCTTGTCTCTGTATTCGGCCCTTCAAAAAGTGTGGATGGTCCTGCACGAAACCTTCACCACTATAATCGAATCTCTCATGTGCCGGTGTCGGGCTGTCAGTTTCCTGGAAACTGATCTGCTTGACCCTCATACGTCGAACGCGACAGAGAATCGATTATATATATATATATATATATATATATATATATATATATATATATATATATATATATATATGCACATTTCATTGAAAAACGACAGACAAGGTGCTTTTATTTAGTTTTTTTTTACAATTTCTCATGCAAACTAATAATTTTTTTTCTTTTCAGATGATCTATCATATAAAAACTGTCCGAATGTTCTTTTTATCCGAGCGCTTTCGGCTATACATTTAGCCACTTTCAAGGATTATATTTTAACTGTTAAAATAAGAAATAGTTTGTAGTATGTATGTTTTATATAGGCCATACTACAACATGTTTGACATGTAGACTCACTCTACACATTTCTGACCATAGCTCAATTAGATCTCATTTAAATATTCATGGAGACCTACCGGATCCTATTCGTAACATACTTGTTGACAACACTAATATAATAGCATCATCTACATGCAAAAAAGGCTAAAAATAATGGAACCCTTATAAATAAAAATAAAAAACAAAAAAAACACTTAATAATATTAACTTTGATAATGGCTACAATATCTTGACCGTGTTTTGAAAAATGAAAACATTTTATAAATGCACCTTTAAAATTATTTTTGCGAAAGGATTTCGCCATTTTATATCATTAACTTTACTAATCTACTAATCTAGGAGATATTCTTCGTGTCTACCTGCCTTGAAACTCGAACAGCGACCAGTGGCGACTTTGGATAGAATACGCATCTATCTTAGCTCCGAAGACGACCGTCTCTGACTATTTGCCTATGCTCGCATGTCAAGTTGTGTCTTTCAGCTCAATGGCTTTTATGCTTATGGCCTTGTATTATTGAAATACATTTGTCAAATACCTGGCTCGTTTCATATTTCTCATCGGACGACACAGCCGCCAGCCGATCTCCGTACACCTCGGGATCAGGTGAGACACAATCGGAAAACGATACCCCAAATACATTTTTTATGGGGTGCACGTGTCAATTGCAAACACGTGGACCAGGTGACACAGCCGGACCGGGTCGGCAAAAGAAAAGTTAAACATTTAACGAATTCCTTTGAGAAGAAAACAAACAGTGTATCAAATGTCCAGTCGGGGTTCATCGCTGTGTTTTACCACGTGATTTCACGCAAATATGGTCGTATCGGTATTTCCTTAGCTTTACTAAGTATGGCACATAGTGAGGATCAAACCTGTTACAGAAGGCATGTTGGTCGTATTTCCAAATCATTGGACCGTATAGTGATCTCTAAGATATTTACTCAGCTTAGCCTATATGGGTTTAACACCAGAGGTGAAACATTCACTAAGGATCGCGCACGTCTTCTTCTTCTTCTTCTTCTTCTTCTTCTTCTTCTTCTTCTTCTTCTTCTTCAGGACGTGATCGATCATGGCTCTCCACAATTTCTTATCCTCTGTAGCAAACAAGTTCGTCTGGTAGATGGCTCACTGCTTCCCAACTGTCCACCTTCCCCTCGATATGCCCTATGAGTATCAAATTCTCTAAGTCCTCCTTCCTTATTATATAGGCAAGAAATTTCAACCGTCTCTTTGGCTTTCTTTCCTCGAGAGTTTTTCGCTGATTACACACACCAACCATGATATTCTCAGCAGTCTTCTGTAGCGCCAAGTTATTTTTTTTTTATATCGCTGGTGACCTTTCCTTGAATGGTGTGAATGTGTGGGTGGTGCAATGGATAGCAGTTCGGAATGAAAAATCAGAGAACCGAGTTCGAATTCAAGCTATATTCACTTACACGCAAATATCCTGGTGAAAAAAAAAATGAATCCCCTGCAATGGGTTAAATAGTAGAGAAGATAGGGCTTTTTCGTCTTGGTGGGAAAGTTATGAATCTTCTTTGACTTTTCTCAGATATTGGGTTACTTTGTAGGACTTGTTCAGTAAATCATTATCTCTAAAAAATAATTTGGCTTTAAATATATAGCTTAAATATATACCTGCAAAGGTTCATAAACCTTAAGAAACAAAGAAATCAAATAGTTCACTTTATTATTTATATTTTTTTAATCAATTCACGCAAAGCAAGGCAACAATATCGCTAAGACGCAAGTTGCTACTTGCTGCTGCGAGTGAAAGAGAATGAAAAGTTTTTAGAAAGGACTAGGAATCCAATCCTAGAACGGATCCATGGGATAAACCTGTATTCCTGTTCAAAAGACGATAGAAAGAACAAGATGAAAGAAGGATTATATATAAATATATATATATATATATATATATATATATATATGTGTGTGTGTGTGTGTGTGTGTGTGTGTGTGTGTGTGTGTGTGTGTGAAAGTATATGAAAATAGGAAGGAACTGGTTAGGTAAATAATCCACAGTTCCTTAGTATTTTTAGTTATTATTTTAAAAAACAGTGCTCGATACAAAAGTAGAGCATAAATATAATTATTTATTTAAAATATGATTCTAACTCGCGACAAAAGGTCTCATGTTTCAAAACAAGAGTTAAAACTTCAATATAATTATTTGAATTAAATTGAGTTAATGTAAGCTTCAAAAAAAAATTTCGCTTGAAAGATGGAACAGAGCTTACATTAATTCAAATTTATATTCAAATTTGTTTTGAAACATGAGACTCCTTATGTCGCGAGTTGAATCTATATTTAAATAAATAATTATATATATATATATATATATATATATATATATATATATATATATATATAA